TTATTTTTTTTTTTAAAAAAAAAAAAAAAAAAAAAAAGTAATCTATTTTATATATGTGCTCAACCAGAGGGAGAGGATTTGTCATTAGTGATTTAACTGTATACCTTGTTTATTTGTATATTTTTTGAAGCATTGTAAATAAACAAACAAACAAACAAATAAAAACATGTCATAAGAAAGTTTGTGTAAAAAGCTTATCATGGCATTTGTTTGTTCCTTTATTAAAAAAAAAAAAAGATAATAAATAAAGAAATACAATTGAAATTAAACTAGTGCTGTTTCTCAATTTATATTAACCCAATATCAAAGTCGTAACCTTGTCTTGAATATATATATATATTAGTACTGTCAAATGATTAATCGCGATCCAAAATAAAAGTTTTTGTTTACACAATATATGTGTGTGTACTGTGTATATTTATTATGTATATATAAACACATACACATGCATGTATTTATTTAAGAAAAATATGTTATATTTATATATTAAATATATATATAATATAAATGACATGAATATAAATATTAACATGTAAATACATGTATTATATTTTCAAAATATATACTGTATGTGTGTCGCATGTGTGTGTATTTATATATACCTAATAAATATACACAGCACACATAGGCTACATATATTATGTAAACAAAAACTTTTATTTTGGACGCGATTAATCGCGATTAATCGTTTTACAGCACTAAATTAAACCCATAAAAGACAATATTATGTATGTAATAAATTAATATGATTATCTGAGATGATTTTCTGTGTCATGAATTCAGTGACTTTAATTATCATTGTCATTTTTTGTGTAGACAACCAAAACAACTTATCGGGTCCTTGTTCTTGTTTTCATGGATGGATGGATGGATGATGATGATGATTATCATTATTAAATATTTTAAATAGAAATGTATTTTATTATCAAAATCTTTTTATTTTTGTTTATTTGTTTATTTAGCAGACAAACAAAACAACATTAGAACTTTTTTTTGTTTATACTAAACACTTGAAATTGATTTTATTTCAAAATAAAATTATTTCTAAATAGAAGTGCACACAACAGGTATCATATAAGTTGTGATCTATAGAGTGTGGCAGCGTTGTAGGTCACGTGATCAGTGTAGTGTACTCGCAGCAGCAGCAGTGCTGTCCCGTCTGCGCTCCTTCACTCACTCACAGAGACTGAGGCACACACACCAAACCTGCCAACGCTGGACTATGACGAACTCTTCAATTCTCATACGGGCCGAATCTGATTTATCTTTATTACTGAGGATTAACCCATAACATTTAGACTATTTCTCTTTTTGTCATATTTGTCACCTGAATAATTCCCTGCACCAGGAAACTTTCACAGACTTGCTGGGATCAGTCTGAGAGATGGAGGCAGAGGAGAATAACATTTCAGTGTGGGTTTGTCGCGAAGAGAAGCTCGTGTCAGGTTTGTCGAAGCGCACGACCTGCGCGGATGTGATCCGGGTTTTACTGGAGGAGCAGAACCTGGAGCAGCGCGTCTCGCTCTCAGGCTCTCCTCAGTCCTACTGCATCGTGGAGAAATGGAGAGGATTTGAGCGGATTTTACCGAACAAAACCAAGATACTGCGACTGTGGAGCGCGTGGGGAGAGGAACAAGAAAACGTCCGGTTTGTGTTGGTGAAAAACGAGGCGTCTTTACCCAGCAACGGGCCGCGGAGCGCAGAGGCGCGCGTCGTTCTCAGCAAAGAGAGCCCGTGTGTCTACAAGGGGACCGCCAGAGTGACCATGGCTCTGTCACAAGAGAAACAGAGACGGATAGTCAGGAAAGCGTTCAGAAAGTTGGATAAAATCAATAAGAAACGGGCGCAAGCTGCGTCTAAAGATGCCTCATCTATGGAGAAGATGGAGACCCTTGTGCACCTGGTCGTTTCTCAAGATCACACCCTCCGCCAGCAGATTCAGAGGATAAAAGAGCTCGACAGAGAAATTGAAAGGTATGAGGCCAAAGTTCATTTTGATAGAATGAAGATGCACGGGATCAACTACGTCCAGGATACGTATTTAGTGGACGCCAACCCAGATAAAGTTGCTGAGGGGGACCAACCCAGCCCAGAAACAGCTCTCGCCCAATTTGAGGAATATGCGCAGAGATGCGAGGAGGTCATCAAACTGCAGGAAGAGCTGGCGAACCACGAGGCCCTCATGGAGAGCATTACAACTGAGCTTCAAGAGGAACTCAACCAGAGGTGGATGAAAAGAAGACACGAGGAACTTGCCAATAAAGACTCTGAAACCACTTCTGGCGAGACGTCTCTCAGAGTCACAACTCAAGAAAAAGATGTTGGACCTTCAGCGGTGGATATGTCGTCTGACAACGAGTTGCTTCTGGAAGAAGAGAGGATCAGAACCCAACTTGACACCAGTTTGTACATCGGTCTGCGGCTGAACACTGATTTGGAGGCCATACGGAATGATTTGGACTTGACTCAGGAGATATGGGGGGCGAAAGAAAAAGAACTGAGGGATTTAATGGAGAAAGTCAACTCTTTGGATTTTGAGGAGGACAGTGAGGCCGAAGCTGAGCTGAAAGAGGAAAACACAATAGAAACAGACAGTGAGGCCGAAGCTGAGCTGAAAGAGGAAAACACAATAGGGAGTCATTCAGATTCCTGGGGCCAGGGGGACAGTGTGTGGGTGGAGCAGGCGAGAGGGCTTTCAAAAACATGTGAAGTGAATGATGACGACTCAGATACAGGACTCAGCTCAATGCATAGTCAAGACTCAGATATCACCCCCATCTGCGAATCTATAGTGTAAAAAACAACAACAACAACAACAACCTACTTTCATGTTATCCCTTGCTGGATAGTTCAAATGAACAATGTATGTCTTAATTTAACACATTTTACATTTGCATACAGTAAACAAGCATAAAGCGGAGGCAAAGAGGAGTGCTTGGAAAGATAAAAAAAGGAACTTTCCTGCAAATCAAAATGAAATTACATTATCAAATCACATTAAGAACATAACTATGCACTTACCAAGCATTCTTAGTCTTTAGTTTTTTTTTTCATGTTGATGTCTATAAGAATATATGGTAGCTTTTTTTCTGCCATTGAATAAAAAGAATAAAAATCGCAAAGTATAGAAATTGAAAACAAAAAATCGAAGAAGTTCTAAGAATTCTTATAAGAGTCAAGTCAAAATTTCTTGGTGTATGCTCAGAATTGAGAGAAAATGTCATTAATTGTGAGATGAAAAATGATGAAAAGTCTGATTTGTGAGATGTGAATTCAAAATTATTTATGAAAAATCAGAAAAAAGTCAGAAGTTCTTGATGTGAACTCTGAAAAAGAAAAAAGACAAAGTCAAAATTGCAAAGATGTAAACTTGCAATTGTGAGAAAAAAGTAAGAATTGTGAGATAAGAAGTCACAGTCATCTTTTTTACATTTTTGTTCCGTGGCGGAAATAAGCTTCCAATAATCAGTGTTAACTTCATACATGTATTTGTGATCATAGCACTGTTATTTTGAGAAAAACATTCAGGATTGAAATCTAGGTGGTTGGATTTTTCTGCATGAGGCATCATTTCCAACATTATGAAGGCTGTGCTTTGCATATCAGTTTTACATTACAGTATGGTTTATGCATTACAATTAGCTATTTAAAGCTGAATTCTGTGATTTCTCACACACACACACACACACACACACAGAACACCCAGAGCAGTGGGCAGCAGTTGGGGGTTCGGTGCCTTGCTCAAGTGGTATTGAAGGTGGAAGAGAGTACATTCACTCCCCCCCACCTACAATCCCTGCCGGACCTGAGATTTGAACTTGCAACCTTTGGGTCACGAGTCCGACTCTCTAACCATTAGGCCACAACTTCCCCTTTACAATCAACCAATCAGAATAGAGATAACTTTTCAGGAAATATCTGTTTTAGGCTTACAATCAGGATTAGGTGCTTCTACACTCTTATTAATGAGCTATCATTTCGTTTAGGAATAAATTATGGGTAAGGTTAGGTTTAGGGGTAGGGATTGGGTTAAGTCTATATTTTTGGACATTAATGTTGATCCAGGATCATCAAAAGATGTTGATCCAGGAACATGACTTACTTGGCAAAATCATGGCGACCATGTAAAATATGTGTAATATGAGAATCTATCATAACACAATGTTGTCTTATAAACTGAAATACTGAAGAATGCTTCATTTATTGATTTTGAAACACATCATCATCATCTCACAAAACAACAAAAAATTAATGAACAAAACTATAATACAATATATAGTATAATGCTGTTTTAATGGAGTTTTTTTTTATTATATGCTGATTTAAATAATCATAATAAACATTTTTATAATAATTGTTTTTACTCTAATGCTGAGAGAAATGGGCTTAACTGTCATAATAATAATAATAATAATAATAATGGTCCTACTTTTTGTTATTATTATTATTTTGTGAGATTCACCAGAGTGTTAACAACATAAATTCACACAACACAAAAGTGTATGAGGCAACATTCCGCGATAAATCACAACTTTTCCAGCAGTGTTGTAGAGTGAAAATAATGCACATTATTTGTCTGTGTTCAGTGAAAAATGTCAGATCTGTGTTCATGAGCTTAGGGTGGATTTTAATAGGAGTATTAGGTGTTATAAAACAATTACATCTGCACCTGACACATCATGTAAATGTAACTCTTTTTTCCTGATGCTTAATAGAGGACTGTTGCAGAACACAGATGTTTGACTGCTTGTATAATTACAAAGCTCTAAATATTGTTCAGACTGCAAGGTAAAGAAAGGAAACGTGCGTTGTTAAATAATTGTGAGGGTTGTGTGAACTGGGGAGGCGAGTTGCTTGTGGCATAAAGCATTACGCAATCCTCCGTCCCAGAGGAAAAGCAGGCAGAGCACAATTGGGGAGGCGAGCTACATATTTTACACAGGTTTTCACAGAGCGCCAGCCATTGTGAAAGCAGGACATTTACATAACGCACCCAGACAACCTCCTCTCACGTGCTCACATCTCAGGCGTACCAGGACACAAAAGACCCCAGAAACAGGCAAGACCCCAGGTTCAGACCCCAGGTTCAGTTTTGGCAGGGTCAGAGTCAAATAAATTACTTTAAAGCACATTTTAAACCAATAATGTCAACAACAACAGAAATTATATATAAAGATGAAAAAACTGCATTTACTATAAATTCAAACTATAATACATTTTCATTTAATTGTAAAGAACATGCATGCAAGTGTCTAAAAACTACATCCATTTTGCACTTATGCATAATCTTTTAAAGTATATTATTTCCATATGTCCTCTTTTTAAAAGCATGCTACAGTGTACTTTTTTTTTCACCAGGGTTTCCAAAAAGGGTTTCACAAAAATACTCATAAAAGTTGAATTAGATGTATCCATCCATCACAACCAATCAAACTCAATCAGTACAGGTATTTGTAGCATGTATGGCCCAAACAGAAGATGGAACAGGCTGTTAATTCCTCATTAATGTCTGTGAGGGAATCATTGGCAGTACAGTGTAAGCGTTCTAAAGTCAAGTGCTGTTAAACTGCAGCAGGGAGGAGTGCAGTTAAAGATAGACCATCAAGCACAGAGGTCTCATCTGGCTAGATACCTTTGTATTTGTTGAGGCAAATTGCGAAACTCTGAAAAGAGGACATATTGTTGATCCGTCCCGTGGTGCGTGAGGGTAGAGTCGTGTCATGAGTTGTGTACAAACACCTGTGCGCCAACATACACTTGAGCACACACCGTTCAACCAGCTTCAAGTGCCAGTGGTTTTCTTCCTGAAACATAAGCCTGAGGGCACATTCATTCACTCTGTGATGCTGGAGGCCTTTGTGCTTTACCTTTACGCAATACGATTAGGTTGTAGTAAATCTGCTTGGTGACATAACCGAAGAAAATGTTCACCTCAGCTGTTTTTCAAAGGTAATTGTCGGTGTAACTGCTGCGGAAGTATTTACAAACAAGATTTTGTGGCTATTATGTGAATATTATTTAGTAAGTGTATTTACTTGTCTCATTAGTGTTTAGTGCAGTTGTCGTTGCTAGGAAACGCTTGTTTTGTTTACTGTGTGGAGACGTGCTGATATCGCGTTTGGTCTCGTTCTGTATCGCGTTATCTTGTCAGTGTCTGCGCTTGCTTGGCCATTTGTTGTGAAAAAATAAGGAAAGTGTGTCCAGCTGAATTAATTTAGTATTTTGTTAGACGGGTATAAAAAAGCTTAGTTTACCACGGCAGCCGTCGCGTGACGGCCTCCTCGTGTGAAGACCGAAGAGTGTAAAGACCATCGACTCTACCGTGCGACTCCATGAGTATAAGTAGTATTTATAACGTTTTAGCTTTTAGTTTTGTATCTGTTTTTAGTTGTTTTAATACTACAAGTGATTGCTTCTGTTGTCCTCATTTGTAAGTCGCTTTGGATAAAAGCGTCTGCTAAATGACTAAATAAATAAATATTAATATAGTGTTATATGAGAGACAGTAATGGTTTAAATTAAATTTGTAGGGATAGTTCACCTCATGTATTTCCATACTTGTATGACTTTCTTTCTTCTGCAGAATACTAAAGTTTTTTGAAGAATGCTGGTAACCAGACAGTTTTGGCTTCTATTCTATGGACAACAGCTTAGGTAATTCTCGAAATACTGTATCTCTTTTTGCCTGGACAATGGTGTAAATGGTCAATGTTCAGTTTCCCATGTATACAGTACGTTCTAACTTCACAATACACTGTAATTACTTGATTGCAGTTGACATAATTGCATATAGTGTTTGTGCCAGCTAAATATCTGTCAATCTGTCAAGTTTGACATATTGAGCAATACTTACATGCACTCTCAGAAAAAAAAGTTACAAACACTATGCACAAAAGCTGTCATTTGGACAGTATTTTTTTCAAAAGGTACATTGTTGTACCTTATTTACCTCTAAATGGTGCCTTTTAGTATTTTAAAGGTACATATCTGTGCCTATAATACCTAATGGTGACCTAGTGACAGCTTAGTTTTTCCCCACAAAATTCATATTCAGTCAGATTATATGAAATACATCTTCATATAAGAAATAGTTTTTTGAAAAGTTTGTGTCCATTTGTTGTTACATTGTTGTACTGTTCCACTTTACAAATAATTTAATGAATATTAGGTGTTAAATAATTTTTTTCTTCTTTTTTGGAAATGCGTAAATGCTTGTGCTCTTTTCACCTTTTAGTACTCTTGCTTTCAGAGGACTCTAGAGTATTTACACATCTTAAGTAAGGGGTGCCAGATTTAAAGATGCCCACACAGGTTCTGTGAGTCTGAGTGCAATGAAGTGGAAAGGAATGTAACCTTTTTGGTGGTGTAAGTGTGTGAGCCTGAACATCATCATTTGCACATTTACACCCTCGGAGTGCTAAATACCTGTAGGAAAGAAAAATCACAAAAGTGCTCATATGCTATGGGATCAAACTGAAGATTTGTACTAAAATGACGTATTTCTTAAATTTTCCAGAGAAAAACAGCCTAGTAATCTTACTTGTCTCAACTTTTACAAAAGGCATGTCAATATAAACATAAATATTTCTCATGAAATTCTTCCAAGAAAAAATGATCTGAGCCATACATTTTAACTTACTGAAGACTTCCCCCTAAATTGATAATTTTGGTAACATTTTAATATTTTAGTGATTCATTTTTGTGTTTATATTTTCTTTTAATTTCATTTTACATTGATTAATCTCAAAACTTAAAAAAAAAGAAAACATTGTGTTTCTTACAACTGCACATTCTTATATGAACAACCAGTCAAAACACATCTTAATTTATTCTGAGGCAGACATAACTGAAATGACAGAACTTTCAGTTCACGTTCAAATGAGTCAGGTGTTAATTCAGCAACCAGCCAGACAGATTCAATGATTCATTCAGTGAAGGATTTGTTGACTCATGAGTTTCATTTAAAGAACATAAAGACTCGTAAAGAGTCATTAGTTTGCAAATCAGAC